CTGTAAATCCACATTTCAAATGCTTCTAGTCTCTTCAGGTGGCCTTCTGTCAGCAACTAGCCGAGTCAAATCCACAGGGACTCATTCACCTTTACTCTCAAAACTAGTGTTCCCAGTTTCTCCTATTATTTACAACTGTAGGGTTGGGGAGTGAATACTTTCTTCAGTTTGAAGAAAGTAGATTTTGGGAAATATGCATATTTGCAAGAAATTAATCGCAATCGGTATTGAATCATTGAATCAATGCAGGATCCAATCTGGGTCGGTGAGTGGTATTTATAGTGCCTGTTGTATGTGGCTTTTTAGATGTTGATTGGGGTGTGTTGATGGCTGGCTTTTAAGTTGTAAACTATCATTTTGCTTGTTTTGCCCAGCCCTCACCCTCTAAGTACTTGATAGGCTGGTGGTAAATCAGCACTCCTATTGATTGACAAGCGGCCTGTTTCCCAGGCTTCAATATCACAGGCAGAACAGCACACACCCTGCTAAAGAAAGGTTTCCCTGAGGATGGGCTCCAGCACGAGTCCAAAGCTCGGAAGACTAAACTTCTTCTGGTCCCGGTGACCGACCCAGATTGGATCCTGCAACATTATCCTGGGACACACGTATATTTGCTTCCATTCATTGAATCTATGCTGAGATGTAGGCCATGTTTGCAGATGGTAGCTAACCACATTTTAGCCTCACTTTTGTGCAAATTCAACTGATATGTCTTGTTTAAATTCCAGGATGTTATGTAAATCCAGAAAATTAGGTTAATCGAACAAACCATAGTTATGATGATGGCTTAAGTGTGTCGTGTGAACACAATCTTTAGGCTTGTTTCATTCACAGGTGTCCAGATTCCATATGGTGGTCAGCTAGGCGGTCCAGCTGCTGCTGCTGCTGCTGCTGCTGCTGCTGCTGCTGCTGCTGCAGCCTCGTCCAAGTATGGAGGTGAGTCTCCAAGCTATGACAGAATGAAGAGCAGCATTCCTCTGCCACTCCCTGGCAACCCAACAAACCTTTGTGCAGCTTGAAGTTAGCTAAGTGGACTTTGCCAAGTGCTTAGCAAGCTCTGAGCACCAAAGATTTGATCTTGGAATGGCCTGAGCAGAACTACATTGACCATTGTTCTGGTTTTAACCCTTCCATCATGGTTCCCTCCCCAAAAAATCATATTATTTGAAGAAGGCAAAGAGAATTTTTTGTGGAATAGCCACACATCTCCTCAAGCTTCTTTCTCAACAGTGGTGTCCTCCAAGGTACTGGATAGATAGCCACTGTGGATGATGGAAGTTTTGATCTGTTAGCAAAGTGCCACATTGGGGACAGCTGTCCTAGAGCTTCAGATTCCTGGAAAGAAGGAATACCTATTCCATTTAATTTAAATTAAAGGGTGTAGTGTGGGAGCACTTGCAGATTTGTCTTAAAATATGGGAAGATGGCTACAGAGGGACTGGGATTGTCTCTGTTCCAGTTAATCTTCTGACTGCCATCTCTATTACAGGGGCTGGACAACTTCCATACAGAGGACAACCACAGCAACCAGAAGCTACTGGCCTGGGAGATTATGGTGCTGGCAGATATGGTGTGTGTAGAGCAGAATGAATTGTACTGGGATTATTTTTACACTATATAAGAACAGAAAAATAACATATATTTAAATTTAACATAGCATTAAATTTAATGCTAAGTAACTCAAGGTTTACTCTTTTTAAAGATCCCAATTTTTAGACTTGTTAGAAAGGTGTTCTACCTGTAAACAGATTAGAAGATTTGTAGGCAAAGAGATATCTTCCCAACTAGGTAATGCTTCTAAGAACTGAAATGATTATTCCAAAAATGTCATAGGCGAGTAGAGTTATACTTTTATCATCAATATGGGGAAGAAGTCCAACACATAAGGGCGAAAAGGGTTATACCAATTGAATTTCTCTTCTGGTCAAAGACAACAATAATAGAGTGGCATTCCTAGGAAATGCATTAAAGAGTTGTCTTCTTAGAGAACTACTGTAAACTTGAAGTTCAGGAGTAGACTGCCTGGTGCAGGACATTCATTTCTTTGTAAATCACATCTCTTGCACTGAAGCTAAATATTTCCTTCTTCTAGGAGACCCCAGCCAGCTGCCATATGGTGCTCAACCTGCTGGTCTTGGAGTTGAGGGTAAAGCAGGACCATTTGGTAAGACTGTTATGGAACTCTTTTCCTGCACTCCTCTGGTTGTTTTGCAATTGTTTCCCAGAGTTCTAAATTATCTTTGATGGATATCCTGCCCTTGGTTTACATTTTGTTTCAGACACCTGGATCAACTTATGGTCTAATGCTTTCAATATGACATAGTGGGACACAGCAACTTCCTTTTCTATACCAGTAAAATTGGTTAGTACAAAAGTGATCAGGGCCACATGTCACACACACACACAACGTCTCTCCCTACAATCACTTCATTTTTCTTTTCTTTTTCTGTGTGTGTGTGTTGTGTGTTTTATTTTCCAAAATTAAATAAGGGAATGGGAACAGTAGGTTTTAGGAGATGAACAGCTCCTTAAATTCCTCCAAAACACATGAATTACCCTCCAGATGACAATCTGAAACGGGGGGGGGGGGTTAAGGACCCTCTTAAATAGGAGTAATTTGTCCCTCGGGGGCTCCTTCTCTCAACTGCTATATTTAAAGGGGGGGAAATACCAAAGAAAGAACAGCTCTTTTGGTGACATCAGCAGATGGCTTCCTATGTCCCCAAAAGTTTGGAGACTGTATTGCAGCTCCTATCTCCTTCACTCTAGGTAGGATCAGGCTATATGATTACTCCTTGCCAGTATGGGCTTTGGAAGGAGAAAGCTCCTCTCCCTATTTAGTAGAAAGATAATGCTGCAGGCCAAGTCTACTAGGTTGCAAGGAACCCTTGTAGATATGACATCAACCTCAAAATCCCTAGATTACATCTGGAGAGTCCTGTGCAGAGGCGTAGCGTGGGGGGTGCAGGGGGGGGCCGGCTGCACCGGGCGCAACATCTGGGGGGGCGCGCTCGCACTCGCAGCTCTCTGCCCCTGCCTTGCTCACTCACTCTCTCTGCAGTGCTGGCTGTGCGAATCCGATCCGAGCCGCCGGGTCGCCGACGCCGCCCACTGTGGAGGGGGGGGTCCCTTGCCCCGGGTGCTGACAACCCACGCTACGCCACTGGTCCTGTGCAATATAAAAAAATTTTGTATCTGTTGTTTTAAAATTTCACTTTCCTGCTTTTTGGTCTCTTTCACCCAGGTGGGCCACAAGTAGGATATGAATCCCAGCGTGCCCAGGCAATAGGATTGGATGGTAAGAAATTGGACCTCCTACAAACTAGGATGGAAATAGGGATTTAACAATAGTTCATCTTGAAAAGGCGAAAGTATTCATTATCATGTCTTCCTGAGAGTCTCAGTGTGTGAGTGACCAAGTTAGAAAACACTTACTTAGCATATGATTGATGTAATAAAGGAGCACCGTTTTACTCTGCCTCTTTCTTTTCGTTCATACCCCAGGGCAACATTTTCAAATTCTGAGGAGCTGTTAGGTTAGCCTGTTAAAACAAGCCCAGAAAAGAAAGGAATTATTCTGCTTTAAATGAATGATGTATTTATACTAAGACATGATTCAATTATGCTTTCTCGAATAAACTGCAATCACCTAAGTTTATACACCACACTGCTATAAATCATGATTTGCAAACCAAAGTGGTTGAGTTTATTAAGTCAGATTGAACCCATAGCTGATAGAATGTATCTGCCTCAAACACCAGATGTGTAACTTTTGACATCACATTTGTTAAAATACAATTTAAATAGCAAAATGGCTATTTTCTTTCAAATGAAATAAATTCTCCCATCCAAAAGAACTGCAAATTACCATTCTCCCATTCCACTCCCGTGCAGATTTTGAAAATCAGAAATAAATGGAGAGGGGGGGGGAGGGAGAATTTTGTGTCTACATAAAGCTTCCCCTCTGCAAATAATTGTGTTATATCTTTCGATGACTAGCTGCTGTTGACAGCACAACTGGACCATTCAAAGAGGACAGTCTGTTCAGTGCTCCTTAAGTCTTGTATTATATATGGAAATATACTGTATTGCCTGAGCTGGATACAGTTGAAGAATAGTTCTCATATTGCCAGCAGAGTATCTCAGGAGACTGAAATATACTTCCATTGAATTTTAGATGGAAAACATAGGTTCTATATGGATAAATGAAGGTTACTATTGGCAAGTAATAGTCAACAATACTTCCTAGATTCCCATTCCAAGGATCAAAGTTTCCAGGAGGGGAGCATAGTGACAGGGCGTTTGATGTGATTTCCTATCTTGTACGTTTTCCCCTTTCTATTTTTCCATCCTTTGCAGGCAACGGACACGGACTAGGATATTTGAACAGTAGAGACCTTCAAGCTAATGGACTGGGGGCAGGTAAGGTTAAGTATGAGCCTTCACACACATACAGAGAGAGAGAGAAAAGACTCTTACTCTTCATCCTGCTACTGGTTATGTAATTAGCATTTAGAGTGTTCTGACAGTCTTAATTTTAATCTTTTCTCTTTGTCACATGATACTAGCTTTATCTCACTCTAGCCTATGATTTAAACAATCTTATGCTGATTTTAATATTAACTCTGCTAAAGTCAACACAGAACCATGATGGGCAATAGACCTTTTTTTTTTTGCACTACCCACCCCCTTTTAGACAGGTGTATTTATTTGATCAAAACAGCTTTGATCAATGGATCCTGGAAACGTCCTTGTATTTTAGGTGAGATGCCATTAGCTGTTCATCAGCCAGTCAGCAAATATCCTCACTATTATCAATAAGGACATTTCAGTAGCCAATCAGAGTGATAATAAGAACCAAAATAGTACATCAGTATCTCATCAGGACATGGATATAAAAAGAGCATTGGCTGAGCTAAGTTAAGGATCACCGGGAAGGAAAGGTTCATATGTACCACTGAAGATTATCTTGCCTCTTTTTTTTATCTGGCAGGTGGATATGGCCCCCTTGCTGCAGGGCAAGTCCCAGGAGGATATGGTAGTCTGCTAGGCCCTGGACAGCCACTAGGAGGATATCGTAAGTGGCACCACAGTTCTGTTTTCCCATGTTTTTTACTCATTTGCTAATAGCCTAAAACTTGCCTGAAATAATTTCCGGATTTTTGGAATGAGCAATTATTTTTCAAACTGTGTGTCTGGGTAATTCTGGAGTCTTTCAATATAAGATCCTTAAGGACTGTATTCTTTAACATTGTTATATCTAACTGCTTGAAGTAGAAGGAGCCACCAGGCAATTTAATAAAAAAAAATAAATCATAATAATCAATAAGCTAGTATTAAACAAAGCATTGTTCTTTAAAAGTTTTAGTGTAATAACATAAAGGAAGCTTTATGGTGATAAGTAGGAATAACCTTTGGAGAAAGCAAGTGTTTGTCACTTAAAGTTTTAAGTGAAGCATACTATGTGTTTACTCAGTGGTACTTCCTAATCTAAGGACTATTGTTGAGAAGGCTTGTTTTATATAGCTCCCTTCCACATTTCAGACCTCTCTGCTTACCTGAGTTCAGGTAAGGTTTATGTGAGAATCAGTATGATCTAATGGTTAAGGTACCAGGCTAGAAATCAGGAGACTTAATCTGGCTTTAGGCATGAAAGCCAGCTGGGCGCCTTTGGCCAGTCACTCTCTCTCTTAGCCCAACTCACTTCACAGGATTATGGTTGTGGGAGAAAGTAGGAAGAGGAAGGAGTATTGTATATATTATGTTCACCTCCCTGAGTTACTTGTAAAGTAATAAAGATGGAACATTTTTTTTTAAAAAAACAAAACCTACAGATTCAAGCATAATAAATAAACCCCTCTACCCATCAGCAACCAACTATAACCAGTGAAACAATGAAAATCAGAGCACAGTGCTCTTATTTGCCTCTCCCCCCCCCTTAAAAGTGTAAGAACATAGGTAAGAAATAATCGATTTCCAAACACACTTTCAAGTACAGCCCTACAAAGAGCACTTCATGATCAGATAATCTGGATGTTGCCAAAGCATGAGTGATAGGACCCTGATCTGATAGTGGACAACCTGCCATTAAAAGCACTTCACACTTCTGTGACTGGGAAAGATTTGAAAATGTACTTGGCATGTCATTGGGAGATCTATATGGCTGGAATATTGAAACCTATTTACATCTTGCATGCTGCAAAATATGGGCCAGACATCTCTGCAGACTTCCTGGGCTTTTTTAGAAGGCAAATCCAGCTTTCTGAAGGCAGGTTTCCTTCCCTGAAGGTTTTCCTACTATTATGCTACCTTCACAAGATGATACTATTCCACTTTACAAGCAGCTTTAGATAGTTTTAATTGCTATATGTATCCTTTTTTTCTTTCAAATATAATTTTTAACTGAACACAGATATGATTTCAGGAATCCCAGTGACTTAGCCCTGCCCTTAGCACAACAAAGCAACCATGCCTTGGACTGCAGAGATCCTCAAAATTAAGCTATACTTTCATCAGAAGAAAATTTCATTTTTGTTGTTAATGCTATTAGCATAGTCTCCTCAATTGTATTTGCATTTCATTTCTCATTCATATTTTTTGATGTACATCCCACCTTTTAAAAAGCATATAAAAGCAACTGTGTTACTCGTTTAACAACTGTAGCAAGACCTTGGAATGCATGAGCCAATCAGGGCCGATCCCAAGTTACTATGGGCCCCAGAACTCCCTACCTCATTTCTATTGCGCTGAAGGCCATATTATGAAAAGATAGCACATCAGCCATTTCCCCCAGCATCTGCACTGTTATTTATGGATGTACAGTGCTACAGATACATATTCTTAATAATGCCTGCTGGCAGGCAGCATGAACACAGATTTGCTTGTGGGATAGAAGAAAAATCAACCTGCAGCAACAAAATCCCCTCATCATTCCACACAAAAGAGAAAGGGGGGGAAAATGCTAGCATAGCCTCAGCAAACAGCTGCTTTAAATTTCCACCCATCCATGACAGAAAACTATTCTGCATCCTATGAATCCCAGTCATGCTGCTGTTCCCAGAGACCATCAGTCCTCTGACTTATCGCAATTGGAATTATTACCAGAGCGTAATATATTTGGTATACTTTGAGGCTACCCCTTGGATAGAAGTAGAAAATATCACTTTAACCCCATTACAGCTAAAGACAGCTTCGGTTTATCTCACTCATGGGCTGGGGATTGAGATGAAGCCAACTTTACAGAGATGTGATAGAAAACCAATGCTTCCAGGACGTGTTTATGTTATGATTAGACAGATGTTAGGAAAGTATGATTAAGTTGTTTGTATTCATCTTTTGGAGTGCTGCAGTTTGCACACAGATATGAAAGTGTAACATTTGTTCATATTATTTATTAAATAGTAAACTTCTTAGGATTATAAAGAAGTATTAACAATCAAGGATATGATGTAAGAGGAACAGAAGAAAAATTCATTGTCCAGAGGTAAATCTTTTGGTATCTTTTTTTCTTTTGGTTTAGGAGGGAAGGAATCAAAGTATGGAATGAATGGATACCTGGGAAATGGCTATAGAGGTAAGATTTAAGAAGGTGAAATACACAGAGATGTACTCTCTGTGCAGAACGATTTCCAGAGCTTGGGGAAGGAACTTAGCAGAACAGGCTGTAGACTTACTTTTTCAGAAGTTTTACCAGTATGTAAGGAGCAAAATGGAAAAGGCCAGCGTATAGCACAATTCAATATGTGGCTAAAGGAGTGGTGTAAAGGGTAAGGGTTTGGATATATTAGTCACGATGTCTGTAGCTGGTCCAATGAAAAAATGTACAAAAGAAATGGTTTGCATCCATCAAAGAAAGGGACTGAGTTACTCGGCTATAAATTCACAGATTTTCTGGAAGAATATTTAAACTAAACAGCGGGGACAGTGAGTTAATTGATAGAGAACATCCCTGTCCCCGGCAATCTAAAAACTATAGGGCTATCAGTGCATGTAACATAGATGTGTGTGCGGACAAGAATATCAACCTTGCTGTCAAGCAAAATCAAGCTTCTAATAGCAAGTGTCACACAAAGTGCACTAACCAAATAGGTAGTAAGATAATAGGGGAACTCAGGCACCACACAGGTTACGTAGAAAGTAAACACAGGGTCAGTCATAAAGGACTCAAATGTCTATACACCAATGCACAGAGTATGAACAGCAAACAGGGTGAACTAGAAATTCAGGTTAATGAGGGCAGATATGATATTGTTGCCATTACGGAAACATGGTGGGATGAAACCCACAAATGGAACACATAGCTAGAGGGATTTAAATTATTTAAAAGAAACAGACCAAATAAAAGAGGAGGCGGAGTTGCTCTATATGTAAGAAATAACTACATCTCTACAGAAATAGAGCACAACAATGATGAAAACTGTCTTGAATGCATTTGGGTCAATACAAAAGGGGGGGGAACGACATTACCATAGGTATATACTACAGGCCACCCAACCAAACACAGGAAATAGATGAACTTTTTGCTAGTCAGTTAACTAAGGTATGTAGGAAGCACATCACAATAGTAATGGGGGACTTTAACTACCCTGACATTAACTGGGAGACAAACTCTGCACCAAGTGGAAGATCAAAGATTCCTTGCAAACCTAGCAGACAATTTTGTCTCCCAAAAAGTAGAGAAGGGAACTAGGGGATTAGCCATTTTGGATCTAATTCTCACTAACAGAGATGAAATGATAGAAGGTGTTGAAGCCACAGGAACCTTGGGAGGAAGTGATCATGCAATATTGGAATTCAACATTATGGAAGCACAAGCAATAGAACACAGTCAAACTAGACTCTTGGACTTTAAGAGAGCTAATTTCAATAAATTTAGAGAGGGCTTGGGAAAGATTCCATGGATGAGAATCCTCCAGGGAAAAACAACGCAAGAAGCTTGGGAAATTTTGAAAAGCAAGATAATAGAAGCCCAGTCTACCTCAATGCCAACAAAGAGGAAAAATAACAGCTCTCAAAAGAAACCAGCATGGCTACATAAAGAACTCTCTGATAAATTGAAAGATAAAAAGGACAAATATAGAAAGTGGAAAGAGGGGCACATAACTAAGTCAGAATATCAACAAATAGCCCGAGCCTGCAAAGATGAAGTGGGGAAAGCTAAGGCTCAAAATGAACTAAGGCTTGCGACCAAAGTCAAAAATAACAAAAAAAGCATCTTTCAACATGTAAAAAACAAGAAAAAAGTGAAGGAAATGATTGGTCTATTAGTGGAGGAAAGTGTCAAGAAGGTGACAAGCAACAGGGAGAAAGCAGAACTATTTAACTCGTTTTTTGCATCTGTCTTTACACAAAGGGAAAAAACAGACCAAACTACCAAAAATAGTGCCATAAAAAACAGAATAGAAACACAAGTTAAGATAGGCAAGAAAACGATGTAGTGAGCACCTGTCCAGCTATCTGTTCAAGTTTAGTGGTCCTGGTCTACCTAATGTGGGGTCCCAAGAGTTCCTTGACCGTCTACACTAGAGTCTTGGTAACTTGATATAAAAAGTTTCTAGGACCTCGTGACCCCTTGATGGCCTCCTGACCTTTTCTCGACTACATCAAGGGTAGAAGTTTTTTCCTTTTTTTTTACCTGGGTCCTTTAATGTCTGCTATCAGCCTGACCTCAATATCTGGGAAGATTCTGGAAAAGATAATCAAACAACGAATCAGCGAACACCTAGAGGCAAACAAAGTCATTACTAAAAGCCAACATGGGTTTGTCAAAAACAGATCATGCCAGATAAATCTTATTGCATTCTTTGACCAAGTGACAAAATTAATGGATCAGAGGAATGCTGAGGATATAATTTACTTGGATTTCAGTAAGGCATTTGATAAAGTAGATCACAGCCTACTACTTGATAAAATAGAAAAATGTGGGGTAGACAGCATCACCACCAGATGGATCCGTACCTGGCTGACTGGCCATACTCAGCATGTGGTCCTCAATGGAACCACATCTACATGGAGGGAAGTGTGTAGTGGGGTGCCCCAAGGCTCTGTTCTGGGCCCAGTGCTCTTCAACATCTTCATCAACGATTTGGACGAGGGGATAGATGGGGAAATCATCAAATTTGTAGACGACACCAAGCTGGCAGGAATAGCCAACACTCCAGAAGACAGGCTTAAGATACAGGAGGATCTGGACAGACTTGAACACTGGGCGCTATCTAACAAAATGAAATTCAATGATGAAAAAAGCAAGGTTTTACATTTAGACAAGAAAAACCAAATGTACAGGTATAGTATAGGAGGTACCTTGCTCAGTAGTAGTAACTGTGAGAGGGACCTCAGAGTCCTAATGGACAATCACTTAAATATGAGCCAGCAGTGTGCTGCAGCTGCCAAAAAGGCCAACACAGTGCTGGGCTGCATTAACAGAGGGACAGAATCAAGGTCACGTGAAGTATTAATACCACTTTACAATGCCTTGGTAAGGCCACACTTGGAATACTGCATCCAGTTTTGGTCACCACGATGTAAAAAAGATGTTGAGACTCTAGAAAGAGTACAGAGAAGAGCAACAAAGATGATTAGGGGACTGGAGGGTAAAGCATATAGGGAAAGGCTGTTGGAATTGGGTATGTCCAGTTTAATGAAGAGAAGGACGAGGGGGGACATGATAGCAGTATTCCAATATCTCAGGGGCTGCCACAAAGAAGAGGGAGTCAAGCTATTTTCCAAGGCACCTGAAGGCAGGACAAGAAGCAACAGATGGAAACTAATCAAGGAGAGAAGCAACCTAGAACTAAGGAGAAACTTCCTGACAGTTAGAACAATTAACCAGTGGAACAACCTGCCTCCAGAAGTGGTGAATGCGCCAACACTGGAAGTTTTTAAGAAGAGATTGGACAGCCATTTGTCTGAAATGGTATAGGGTTTCCTGCCTGAGCAGTGGGTTGGACTAGATGACCTCCAAGGTCCCTTCCAATATTATTATTATTATTATTATTATTATTATTATTATTATTATTATTATTATTATTATTATTATTATTATATCTCCCATTATGTTGATTTTCTGTTCACCTTCATACCCACCATCAGCCAAAACATGCATTCTGTCTGCATTTCTAGGCATTTATGTAAAATTAAAAATTCCATACAATCATCAAAAGTTATATTTAAATCTTCGCTAGGTTCCTAAGTTATAATGTGATTTATTTATCTTGTGGGTGAAACCAGCTGTTGTGATTTGCAAAACATGATATGTGAAGCTAACTGTTGTGATCAACAAACCATGGTTAAAACAAACATAACCGGTGTATTATCTTAAGCAAATCACTGTCCTGAAGGCTCTGGGATTTCAGCTTAGGTGAAAAGTATTAGGGATTGCTAACAGAAATCAGTTATATATTTCAGCATCATTGAAGGAAATAATGATAAATATATTGTTACTTTTTAAAACAATACTATATTTATGCTTTTGAGTATTTTCATTTGTTAAAAAAACTGTACTGAGTTATGGAATACATATACGCAAGGAAGGTGAATAATTTTGAATCTTGGAGAAGTGGATTCCTAGCTAATTATGTGAGGAATAGGACTGACATTTGCAAAATCATCTCATACTGTCCTGCAGTCAGTCTATGTACAGTAAATGGCAAAGCTGGAAAATAAAATAATGGTTCCCTTGTCTTCACTCTTTCCTAGGCCGCTGCTCTTCTGGAAAATGCTGAAAGACAATATTGCTCTGCAGAACTTCCAATAGCAAGATCTAACATTCTAGGCAATCTTTGGTGCTAAGTTTAAAGACCAACAACTGCATTCCCAATATAAATGACTGTGTCTTTTTCTTTCTCTATGTTTTATTTTGTCATTAGAAACTTTTCATTTTTTAAAGAGTGAAAAACATTGCATGTTAGTTTTTAAAGCTTTGGTCAACCATATTTTCCAAGGACTAATAGTATTTCTGTGACCGTACTACACAAAGAGTTTGAGAAGCTAGAAATTGCTTTCTCCGCCAAGACATACCCTGTGTATTCCACAGATTAGGAGGCAGTCTAGAAATGTTTTTCATCTAATTATGTTTGGAGGCCCAGACACCAATGTCTTTTTACATAAGAATAAATCCACCATTCTCAGTGTCTTGCATACTTGTGGTATCCTTGTTCAGCCTTGCAAATTTGTGTATATTTTTAAAAAAATCCCACTGAATATCTTCCATTAATATATTATGCAGAAACTAAAAGCTTACTGCTTAATTTCTTCAACATTTTCTAGATGCTAGATAAATGTATTACATTGTTTCTAAACATGGCATTCTAAAACTGATACTATGGAATCCTGAAATGTTGGCATCTTCAGATCAATTATTGGATAATAAATCTTTTTTCATTTCTTACATTAAAGGATAAATAGTACTTACTTGTTGCTGGCCACTGGAAATATTTATATCTATTGCCATCATAATTTGGACCATTAGCATTTTCAGCTTCAGAGATACTTAAATGATTAGAAGAGATGATTAAATCTTATGAAGCCCATTAGTCTTTATACATTTTATTGATTAATCATTTTGATATGCACATTTTAAAAAGGAATTAGAGACCCCTATTTTATCTAAACAATAGGAAACCGTCTTAACCTCTGTATCAAAAATGTCAATAGATCTAATTTACAAAATATTTACAAAAATATTTAGTACTTATTGTACCCCATTGCATTTGTGTAGAAAAGAATCAATAAATCATCATGCTAGAGTGGAAAGGGGAATGCTGCTTCATTAAACAGATTTTTTCCACTGTTCTAAAATTTTTATACTCTGGGAATAAGTCATTTACCCATATGAATTTGTGTCTGAAACATAGTTTAATACTTTCATACAACTATATTCTTTTGATCAATATATCTATTATAAGGTAATTGATGGCTAGACAACGTATCTCATACCTTTCTTATTGCTGAGACTTGTCATTCAACATTGGAAAAATACATGTATATATACATGTATATGTAATAATTTCCAACGGATTCCAAAGAAATACAATTACCAACCTAATCCAAAGGGAAACACCCCCCCAAGAACCGAGACATAGAACAGTACAACGACATCGCCCTCCTCACCTACATCAAAGGCACCACAGATAAAATCAGCAAAATTCTCCACAAACACAATATTAAGACAGCCTTCGGCACCGACCAAAAAATAGCCAACATCTTAAGAAACCCCAAAGACAGGATCCAGCTAGAAAACCAAGGAGTCTATGAAATACCATGCAAAATCTGCCCAGCCACATACATTGGACAAACTAATAGGAGAATAAATGCCCGCATCGCAGAACACAAGAACGCAGTCAGAAAAGAAGAAAAAACTTCCT